TTTTTTTGTTAAATTATCAATTAATGTTCTTATAATACGTTCAGCATCAGACCATTGAATTTCAAGTACACTAGAACAAAAAAAAGAAAGAATTGATGAATAATAAAAATATGAATTTTTTGGTTTTATTACTTCAATTTTTGCATTAATTGATTTATATCATCAGGATGTAATTCAGGAGATATCTAATATTTTTTTTGTTTTTAAATAATATATATTTGAATAATATAAATAGAATTACTTCTGTTATTGTTTGTCGTAAACGTTGTAATTCATGTCGATGTTGTGTAAGTTTACGATCTTTACTCTAAATAAATTTATTTATTATTTTTAACTTTTATTATTCATGAAATTTTATTTACTTGACATTGTAAAATAAATTGATTTAGTTCATCTGTTGGTTGTTGTTGAAGTGTACGAATTGATTTTATTGAAATACTTACATCATCCAATGCATGATCAAGTTCATTATAACGAATCAATAACTATCAAAAATTAAAAAAAAAGATGATTTTATTACAAATATAAGAAAAAAACAAAAAAAGGGAATTTTCAAATTTGTTCTTTTTTTTTTCCTTCTTTAACTGGAAAAACTTTCTATCTAAAAAAAACAACCTATGATAAGCAGATGAGCAGGAATAAAAGATTGAGCAGAATCTATGTTAAAGTTAAGAAGTATCATGGATCTTTCGAAGAATAAGAGCAAATCAATAAACATGCACAAACGTTGATATTATCTATCAAGAAATATTGTATATATATGAACTGAAAATAAATGAGCAAAATAATTGATAATGATGTTTTCTTTTTTTTTTTGTTTTGTTGTATTTTCTAATCTCGAATATTGATGCGATCATTAATCTATACTGATTACCTTCTCCTTTCGAAGATTTTTTCGATACTAGAATAGAACAATATTTAGGTAACAAAAATGATATATGAATATTATGAATTAATTAAAATCAATAAAAATTCAATTGAATTAAATAAAAATGACTACCGTAATAAGTATTTCAGATCTTTGTTTAATATTAATATTAATTTTATTAGCTGATCTTTGTAAATCATTCCATTCTTTTTCTAATATTATTTTTGTTTTAATATCAGAATATGTTATAAGTCGTCGATTTATTTCATAAATTTTTTCTAATAAATTTTGTTAATTCTTCATTTTGTAATGAATTTAAATAAGTTCCTTGTTTAATTTGATTAATTAAATTAATTGTTGGTGATCGTAATTGTTCTTGTTCAAATTCATATTTATTTTAAAGTAAACGATAATAATACTTTCTAAATAATTTTGATATGATAACCATAATTTAATAATATCTTTTATTTCTTGTTGTTTATTTAAAATTGTTTTTATAATTAATTGCCAACGTTGTTCAAGTTTAGTAAATGTATGTTGATCTTAATAATTAAATTTTGTTCAATTAATTGTTTACCTTCATTAATTAATTGTATTAATTCTTGTTGTCGTTGATTAAAATCATTAATTATATTTGTTGAATTTATATCAATTTCTAATAAATCTTGATAATTTGTATGTAAATTTAATTATATAATTGCTAAATTTTGTTCAAGAGCTTGTACATAATCATTCGATTTTTGACAACGTTTATCAAAATTAAATTTATTATATTGATTTATTTCAAGTTGTTTTATACGATTTTTAATTAATTCAATTGTATGTGTATATTCAATCATAATTTCATGTAAATGTTTAGCTCGTTTAAAATATCAAATAAATTCATTTGAATTTAAATGTTCAATTAAATCATGTTTTGATAAAAGTAATGTATGAAATTCATGAAGTTGTTTTAAATTATTTATTTCATTTTCATCAGTTAATTGATGAGATTTATAATCAATTTGAATTTGATTAATTATTTGTATTAATTCATTTAAATAATCTAAATAGATTTGTTTCACGTTGTTTT